AAATATATCCTAATATTTAATGAAATTAAAATTCTGCAGTGGGAAATAATTCCAGGTAGTTAATGTGAAACATAATTGTAATTACCTAAGATACCTACTATTTTATCTCTTAATGTCTGGCTCTCAGGATTAGACAACATGAAGTCCAATAACTCTAATAAGATTGCCGTATATTTTCATTTTCCTTCGTCCTAAGAGTTATACACATTCAAAGTACACTCTATTAATGTAAAGAATCTGCCTGCAATCTGGGAGACCTGGGTTTGATCTCTGGGTTGGGAAGATCCCCTGGAGGAGGACATGGCAACCCACTCGAGTGTTCTTGCTTGGAGAATCCCCCTGGACAGAGGTGCCTGGCGGGCTACATTCCAGGGAGTCACAAAGAGTCGGACACGACTGAGTCAGACACAGACAAGCATAGCAGCAATGTATATCTAATAATAAGATATATGTCTACTGGCCTTTTAAATGTTTGTCCCTTGAAGGGGAGTTTAAATCAATTCGGAATCATATACAAATCTCTAATCCCATTTCTCCTTTGGATTCTAAGAAGAGTCATGCTCTCCTTCTTATTGGATAATCCCCCCAACTTTGTGGCCAAACCTTCTCAGAAACTAGTTTTTAAATTCAAAGCTTTGAATAATAAGAATACAATGAAATTCATGGAGAATTACAGCACCCTCTGGAAAATGTCTATGGCATAAACATCCATAATTTAGCCACTTAAAACATTTACCAGAAGGAAATCAAAGATAAATTCAGAAAGGAACAAGAGGCTGAAATCCAGAAACTGAGTGTGTTTTTCAGTAAATTGATAAGCTGTAATTGCAAAGCTCTACTTTTTGTTCGAATTGCAAATATTATGTTCATTAACCCTCCATCTTTTCATGTCTAAATCATGCAAAGAAGCAATTTAAAAACATTTTGTGGCACAGATGTTAACTGGAATTAAAATAAGGAAGGATACCTTCTGTAAATGATGTTGCTATAGTGAAATGATCCTTTATACTTCAAATCAGTTAAAGTCAGAAATCAATGAATTACGTACTCTTGAAGCACAAAATTTTCTGAGTATCTTTTCCTTTGTAGATTGTTTTCTTTTTAACTTCATTTTTACTTACTAAACCATTCAGTTAAGTTGCAATTTCCTCAAAATTGAACATATTTTATTATAATCCATGAGAGTGTATTTATATAAAATGTATATGTAGCCAAATTTAACAACATATTATAAAGCTTCATTAATTTATTAATAGGATTTGTTCTTCAAATTGTCTTTTGTATTTACATTATATATATTCAAAATATCAAATGCATAAATGTAGATTATATGCATTTACATTTCAAAGCATTATCAAATTTAAACTCTACAATTAAATGGAATAGTATCCTCCTTTATTTCCTCAGCTCTTCTAATCACACACATGAAGCAGCCACAAGACTTTTCTAACCGAAATATTGTGATTCTTCTAAACTTCCTGTGGATTGGAAAAGTCCCACATACATGTAGTACCATAACTGTTTGATTCCCTGTCTGAACCATCCAAGATGTAAGCCAGATAGCCATAATCACTTTAAGAAATACAATATAATTTTTTTCTGTCTCTTCCAACAATGGAAGAAGAAAGTTCTCTACAACTGAGATTTTATCTTTTCCTTCCATTCACACCTCTCTTCTTGCCTCTCTTGGCATCATGCCTACCGTAATGTTCCATATCAAGAAATAGCTCAATTAATCTTAAAAAGTAAATTCACTGAATGAGTCTGTGGCACTTAATGAACCTAAAAACATTTGTTTCAACCTCACAACACCCAGTGAAATAAATTGTGTCAAGTTACAGTCATGACATAAATTCCCATCTAGACACTAGCTGTTGTGAGCTTGGATATTTCATGTAATCTCGTTGATCTTCACAATTCTTATCCAAAAAATTGCTAAGAAAACAAAACAAAACAAAAATTAAAAATTGCTAAGATTAACTAAAATAGTTCCTTCCTCTGACATTTTGCCCTTCTATTCTTGTTACTATTCTTGTTACTTAATGAAAATTGTATTTCTGAAATTCAAGAAAGTAATAGTGAAGTAATATTCATAGTAGTAGCTAATATTTATTGATTGTTTAGTGTTCCTAAGCAGCTGACATATGTTAACTCATTTAATCTTTAATAAACTTTCTAAGATAGTTTACTTTCTGATCTTTCAGAATCATTTTGGTAATTTGAAGCCATTCCCAGGAAGTCTCTAGCTGTGGTCTTTTAAATAGGCCCCTTGAGATTCACCAAAGTTCTAGCTTAGAGCCAAAACATTTCTGGGGACTAGAATTACAGGTAGAATCCTACTGTTTGTTTGACTCAACGGTCTAATTTATCAACTTGCTTATTTCCTTCTGGGAAATCAGTTCTTTGCCTTTCCAACTATATAACCATCATTTATATAGTTACAAAGCATGCACTTTGTACTTACAAAGCATGAAAAGTAAAAGCTGATGCTTTAAAGCGGTATTAAAAGCTGAATTTATACAAGGGGTTTCCCTAGCCTTGTATCAGAACCTGGATGGTGGTCTGAATATCTTGAAGCCTGATTTACTGGAAACGGACCCAGATTCTATACCAGAGTTCATCTAGCTACGTTTTTTTCCCCTGCTGTATCCTCTGTGAGGCAGAAAACTGAAGCCACTAGAAAATACTTGATCACCTTGGATTTCCTGCTGCCTTTATGACCCTCCTAAGGACAACCCTTTCCAGTTCTCTTCCTGCCAGTTTTCCCGTTCCCTCCACTCAATGCACCTGTGTCTTCTTCCTTTAGTTCAGCCACCAGGCCCGAGTCAGCTTTCTGTCATCCTCGGGCAGAAAAGAGTGGGCCCTCTTTCACTTTCCCCTCCCTCACTTCAGACAGATTTACCGAGATGCCCAGGTCCATGGGGTCGCAAAGAGTTGAACACGACTTAGCAACAGAGCAAGAGCTTCAAGGTCAACAGCAAACACCATCTTTCAGTTCTGCTCCTCGAATCCAAAGCTGAGGCCAATCCTGCTCCCCTCCCTAGATTTTCCTTCTTTCACAGTGCTCCCTTTTAAACTTATTTTCTGATGATTCTCCCAGCATTCCATGTGGTGAATACCAGCCTGCAGTAAAACCTAAGGCCACTCTGACCTCCTTCCTGAACTCCAGTCTTTTATTTCCAAATGGATGATCAACATTTCCTTGCATGTGTCACCAGTACCACAAGCTCCGTTGTTTTCCTGACTAAGCCTGCTGCTTCTCCAAGATTTCCACTTTCTGTTAACAGCATCATAATTTGATCTTTCATTTATTTCTTATGCCCTTATCCAATCAGACGCCTGAAAGTTTTCTCCTTTTTAATGTTCCCTTTCAGGTCTCACCGCCCTAGCAGACGGTCTCACTTAGTCTTTCTGCTTTTGAGATGGTTCACATGTAACTAAAACAACAGCAATTAAGCCAGAGTTAAAAATTAAAACTAGAAGAATGAGAGGTTCAGCATTTCTTTAGATTCTAATTTAGGACTAAGTGTTATTCTTACAAGTACTCAAGTTAAATTAAACCTGTTAGGAATCTGAATGAGAATTATAGCTTTGAAACCATGATGTACTAGGCATCACCACAGTTTCCCTTGACTTCGACATTCCTTCCTTGCCAAAGCCACTTCTCTTATTTGAGATTCTGCATAAACTGAAAACAAAGAAGTGGAAAATTGGTATAAAAAAACTGCAGTAGGAGATAAGATAACAACTATTTTAAGGACAAAATGCTGATTAATTTACCTTGATCAATGAAATAGCAGTTCAAATCACTGGGAGCAATTGTAGTGTTACTATTTCAGTAAAGTATTGCAAGAAATAATAAGAAGGAATATTATAGTATCAGATGATTCAGCCCTAGTTTAGCTGTGTGACCTCAGGAATGTTGCTTAACCTCTCTGAGGTGTAACTCTTTCATTTATAAAAATAACAAAACTAGCCTAGATCACCCAGAAATTAATTCATTTCTGAATGGGATTGAGAACCACTGATAGAAATAATGAATATATTTGCCTTTAACAATGAGGGAAATAGAAATTATCTTTTTAATATTAAAATGCTTAAATTAAGAACTTTTCAGTGAGTCGAAACAAAATTTAACGATACCATATGTTTTGTTTTGCACAGTGAAACATTTGACAGAGTTGGTGGGTTTATCAGTTCAGTTCAGTTACTCAGTCGTGTCCAACTCTTTGCAACCCCATGGACTGCAGCACCCCAGGCTTCACTGTCCATCACCAACTCCCGGAGCTTGCTCAGACTCTTGTCCATCATGTTGGAGATGTCATCCAACCTTCTCATCCTCTGTCATCCCCTTCTCCTCCCGCCTTCAATCTTTCCCAGCATCAGGGTCTTTTCCAATGAGTCAGTTCTTTACATCAGGTGGCCAAAGGATTGGAGTTTCAGCTTCAGCCACAGTCCTTCCAATGAATATTCAGGACTGATTTCCTTTAGGATTGACTGGTTGGATCTCTTTGCAGTCCAAGGGACTCTCAAGAGTCTTCTCCAACACCACAGTTCAAAAGCATCAATTCTTCAGCTCAGCTTTCTTTATATCAGTGATTATATGACAAAAAGGCAATGGTCCTATGAACACTTCTAAACAACATCAACAGAGTTCCTGCAAAAACAAAATAAATCAGAACAAGAACAAAATAGCTATCATATTTCAAGTGTATCTGTGTGGTACTTACTGGTGTTTCTCTGTGATCTTCATAGTGGCCAGCATTATACTAGGACAATCTTAAGTAGGATATACTAGATACTTGATAAGTATTTGTTGAGTTAATAAATTGAGTTGAAGTTGGATGAAATTAATTAGTTGTTTCCATAGTTGCAATTCTGATGTGAATTTTAAAAACATATGACTTTTGGTTGCTCAACTCTTTTGAATCTTATTATTAGAGACAATGTGATAAATAAGTGTCTTGCATTGATGACCCTGTTTATTTGTGTGTTTACAGGCCAATGGACATAGTTTTGTACATATGGAACACGAAAAAGCTGTATTACTCCTGAAGAGTTTCCAGAACACAGTAGACCTAGTTATTCAACGTGAGCTTACTGTCTAAATATTTTTTATAAATAGTGAAGATACGTCTAGCCAGACCTAATGTTCAAATAAATTTATACATAGAAACAAATTTTGCCAATTGCTGGACCAATGGCAAACATTAGTGCCAAATGTATAATACTATAATGTTAGCACTGATCATCCTTAAAAATGTTAACTATATAAATATGATGTTCATGTGGTTATGTATTAGTTTTAATTGTCAGCCTCTGGCTGTGCATTGGTGCAGTTTTGGTTTTGATTTTGTTTTTTTTTTAATTGAATAAGTTTCTTCTCAAAGTGGATTTCATATAATTTCGGAGCACGGAAGCACACACAAGCTCTTTATGAATTCTGCTCTCCATCAGAAACACTGCCTCAAAATTGTATATGCCTTTATATAGAAAATACAAATATAAAGAATTGTAATTCCCATAAAATATTTCTAGCACAAAGTATATGTTGGCATATAAACAAAAAGAATATAGATTAAAAAAACAATATTTTCATAAATTAAACATCTCGGATTGAGAAAGAAAATATATCTTAAAATAAGACTTTACTATATTGAATCTTTTTCAATAAAAATTACAAGATAATGCCTTATGAAAGTAACTGTACATATGGTATAAAGTGTTTATATTTGGTTCCATATTCATTTGCTAAATTCTCATAACACAGAGTGAAATATTTCATCAGTTAGCCATTTACCTCTGGGACCTGAATAAAAGATAGAACAACCTAATTTGTTCAATGCCTTTAGCTAATTACAATACAGACAGAGTTAAGAAAAAGACTAAAGGTCATTGTAGATAAATCTTTTTCACCACAAATGTAAGCAGTGAAATGATGGGTGGCAGCAAAGTGTTGCTTTATTTCTTTCAAGTTTATGTTGACTATATACTGTAGCCCTGTGATTTCTTTACTTGTAAATGTGGAATTTATTTGTGTGTTGCTTTATCCAATTTGCTACTTTTAAATCATTTTAAATGAGTTTGGGGTATTGATAAAATTTATCATTAAGAAAGACTATTGTTAGAAAGTTATGGGGGTGATAAAATAAACTTTGGTATTTAAATATGAAACTTCAAATATAATTTCTCAGAGCCATGGTCTATCTGTATTACTATTTCCATGCCCACCTTGGAGGGCAAAGTAGAGAAAATATCTTTTTTCCCCCAAAAGTTGCAAAGTACATATAATCTTAAATTCTGTCTCACCGAAGAGAAAGATAAGGATCATTAATAGAGAATTACTTATTTTTACATTGGAAATGTTTTTCTTTACCAATGATCAAAATTCATTGTATAACCCTTTAAAAATGTTTCTTTTATATATTAGTCATTCATTTGTTAAATTATTAATTTCAAATTCCAGAATAATTTCCCAGAGTTGCTTACATGCATTCTCTCTCATATTTTGACATAGCTCTCTTTTTTAAAATATATATAATGAATTTACTTTACATGCCAGTGTTCCAAGTATCTTGTTAAGATTTTCATGACAGTATCACATATTGATGTCACCAAAGCTCTGAGAGTAATATTTGTAAGTTAACTGTTTTATGGGGACATTGAAAATATTGTATTTTTGTAGGGTCTATTAAAATGAGTGTCACTTACTAGAAGTACAGTGGTATTTTTTTGGCAATAGAATTTGTCACTTGAAGGCAAATGATACTTCACTTTATAGATGATGCACTAATTTTGATGTTGCTTTATGTCAGGGTGACATTATACTATGATTTTATAGGCTTTGATATTTAGCAAATGATTAAATGATTGGCCTATTTAATATGCTTCCCAGAAATAACTTTTAAATGCATTTTAATATATTGACAATTTCTGATGAGAGATGTCTTTCAGAGCCTAATTTTTTCTTTGCCAAAAACTCACACCAAACCACCATACCAGCCACTATATTAGGATGATCATCAGTAGTCAAGATAGAGGCCCTCACTGGCTTCCCAAGATCACTTAAAGGAGAAACAAACTCATGGGTGTAGTTTGGTCGCCATGAAGCAGCTCCGGTCATCCCATTAGTTTTGTTTAATCTTTCATGGGATAATTGGAAGAAGAGCCAGATGAAGGACTTCCCAAGTCTTTTTTTCTTATGTCAGGTTTCCACTTCAAACACAGGGTCTCTAACGGCTGCATGCTCGCTCCACTCCTGTTATATAAGTACTCAATAAATATATATCTATTATTATTGCAAAAAAAAAAAACAAACAAATACAGGGTCTCAGGAGATGTTTCTGAGGCCAAGCGGAGAGAACCATGATCTAGTAAACCCTCTGCCACTCCTGATGTGACAGTATTGTCTTGGGCCATGCTTTACTCCTTCCTGTTCTCAGGAAATGAGAAAAAGAGAAAAGGGACCCTGACCAACTGGAAGGAAAGCTGATGTGCAAAGCACCTCATTGTCCATTGTACTGCCATGCTGCATACTGAAAAAAAGGCAGGTAATAATGAAAAGAGGTATTTTTTCTTTTTTTTTTAGGTTGACTGAAAAAAAATCATTGATCACTTAAGGGGGAAAAGAGTCTTATTGATTCCATGGGTGACCAAAACCAATAATACACAAATTTGTGGTATTGGTTTTTTTGGAAGGACTGGCTTTGCTGTTTGAATTAGCATCTGGTTTATGTTAACAGAAATGAAGAAGCAAAAGTTAAGGGTGTGCCTTTAAAAAAGAAAAATCAACAGCCACAAAAAAAAGGAGTGGAATTCATAATGACTCCAATAGACTCACCTTGGTCTTTGATTTTTATTAGGATCTTTCTGCTGAGAAATCTGTCTTATACCTGACATGAGTAAGACATAATGGGAGGGAATGAGAAAAGTTATTAGGTGAAAAGAATAAGCACTGAAAATTACTAGTAGAATTGTTGCAGATTTTGCAAGCCAAATAGACATTAGTGGACTTTTTTTTTTTTACTATTTACATGACTTATTATACATTGTCACCAAAGCTCTCTTATGATAATTCTATTACCAGACAACACAAGCCACCTAAACAAACATAACACTTTCAAAATATAAGGACCTTTTGACAAGAAATATTGAAAGTCAGTATAACATACAAATATTTATATAATGATAATTTATTGCTCATTGAAACCTATCAAATATATGTGTCCCAGTTATTAAGAACTGCAATTACATAGATGTCAAACAATCTGGGCCTTATGTTGGATTACCACCTTCAGGATGGAAAGCAGTTTTAAAGAGAAAGTGACAAATCACGATTGATTAGTTCTTAACCTAAAAATGATTCCACATATATCACTAATATAATTACTTATTAGAAGCAGGACTGGGATATGTTTTACTAGGTGAGCTAAAGAGAGGGAGTATTCAAAGGAAGGAAAACTTTGAAAAAGTTAATTTTATATATTCATACATTACATGACAAGTATCTGAATTTGGCAAAATGACTGATGAAGGAAAACATTTTACTTTTAATCATAAAATTGATTTAATATCTCCACCACAATTTAAAGCCTTGGAAAACAGTGTGTGTTTGCCAACTTGCCTTTCTATTGGCTTTTAATGCTGTCCTCAGTAAATTTCTGCCCCTTGTTGGCACACAGATCAAGAGTCTATTCTGACAACTTCACACCTAGCAAAGGGCACCACAACCTAACCAGATAAAAAACCATGTTGGCAGAGGACCACCACTCTAAGTCTTTGGTAAATTCAATCAACATCTTTGGCTGATTCCTGATACGCTGACCAAATAACAGGTTTTTTGAATCACTGGGTCAGTAAAAAGTTGTGCAAATAATAAAATCTAATCAGTTAAGAAGATGGGTCCTTTATATAGTATCAAGAAAAACAAGGTTGAGTTTTCCTCTCATAGAAATGCTAAATCATTCTGAGGCTTAATAAAATATTCAAACACTGGGTTGGTGATGTGCCCTCTCTTTTGGTTGTATTAGAATTGCCTGATCACCTGGGAATTGGGAGGAACTCTTCAATCTGCATGAACTTTTTTCCTTAGTAATACACCTTGCATTAAGAAAAGCATCCTGGCTTGGCCCAGAGTATTGCCCCATCACTCTCAGCACAACCATCCCCCAAGTATACATTATAGCGAGAAAATAGAGTGTGGGCTGTGGAAAGATAAATGTGCAACAAAGAAAGCATGTAGGTCAATATTATAGGAGATCCCAGTCATCACCTCTCCTAGGCATCCTTTCAACCTCATTTGATCTGAACTCTTCAGAGAATGTTTTTTGAAACACTCTACCATATGAAACTAAGGCAGAAACAATCAAGTTTTCTAGTTATATTCTGAACCTCCTGGTGTTGTTTTGGTTCTAGAATGCAAAACTAACCTCTCTTCCTCACTGCTGTTGCTGCTATAGATCCATACCTCCGACTCCCCATGACGTTCCAAAGGCAGATGACTGCTTCTGTCCTGCTGACACAAGGATAAGAGGTCCCCTTAGAGTTCTGTTTGGAGACCCCTGACTATCAACTGATGGTTCCAGCTTCTGGTTTGGGAAGAAATTTCTGGGTGATTGAGGAACCTAGCATAGTAGCATTAACCAGGGCTCAAAGGTGGAGCATGTATCATGTCCCTGACAGCATCAAACAAAGCTTGTGTGCAAGGGTGAAGCTGGCAGTGCTTCAATAGGACTGTTTCCACTTCTGTTTTTGAAACATTGGATTTTACTACATTGAGGACAATCTCTGAGGCTCCCAGCTGATTGTCATGGGGACAGGTTCCAATCATCCTCACCTTTGACACTGTCTGCAAGAGAATGATTGGGAAATACTGTCCTGTGATAGTATAAGCTCCATGATTTTAACTTTGGAGAATTCAAAGATTTCTTATAAATGGACGGGGAAAGTCTACTCTTAAGTTTTGAATAAAGAGGGTAAATGAAAACCTAGGAATTTTATTAAAACCTTGGGCTTTTAACTATGTGATTATCATAATCTTCTCTGAGAGCAGTTCTATAGGAAGTAAAGAGAGAAAAACAGAGAAGGAAAATAATTCACCGGCCCTATCTTTAGAAGCATTATTTTATCTGGTAGCTTTTTCCCTGTTGGATTTTTATGTGTAACAGTGAGCTCTTGCTTTGCAACAACCCAGTGAGCACTGAACAAGATAAGAAATAGACCTGGATGTAAAGCAGGCACAGATGAGAAGGTTATCTCTACAGCCACACCGACCTCCCCCAATTTTCCTAGGCTGCAAAACTCACTTTTATTGGCCTAATTTTGTATTTTGTTAATAGCAGCACCTCAGAGTAGAAGATTGTGAAATTCAAGCAGTGTTTATGTAGAAAGCAATGAAATCCTGTGACTCTGAGGGTTAAAATCTTATCCCTTTTTTTGTGGGTGGGGAGGCTTTTAAAATATTTCATTTTTTAAGCTAGTATAACTTTTAATATGTGTAGAAAAGGATGTTGAGGGGAAAAGTTAAATGAGTCATCCAATCTTTCTCTACTTTTGAAAAAGTATATATTTTCTCAAATCTATCCCTGTTACACAATTGTATTATTTGTGTCAGTTTTTTTTTTCCCTTCTTTAAAGTAACAGGATGAGTAAGCAACCTAAAAATAGTCAAGTAACTCTATACCTAGAGTAAAACATCTTAGTACAGAGACTTACTTTCATCAGCAAACTCTGTAATTCCTCCATAGGAGAACCATAGCTGAATCTCAGATGCCTAAGGTATGTCATTCATAAATTGAAAACATTTGGGGACAGTTTGTTGAAGAATATAACAGAAACATTAAATGTGATGTTAACAAATATTTGTTGAGCATCAGCTATATACCAGGCACTATGAGGGCTTGAACATGGTCTCCTCTGCACAGAATCTCACAATCAAGTGAAAAGATGGGAGAACTTCCAGATCAAAGAGAGTACCAGGCCATATGGTGAGTCCCTGTGTCCCTGCCCTCAGCCCATGCAATGCAAAAGGAGGCAGCATCCTTATCTAGTCAAATCTCTTTGAGGTTTGAGCATGTTACATTTGGAGTTATAAATAGGTCTTCCTACTGGGTTCTATGGTCTTTGGGAGGCTGTATGAGTACTTCCCAAGACTTAGGACAATATTTGAGAGGCTAGAAGTGGCAAGAGTGGATGCCTTACTGGACAAGATAAATAGCAACTGTAATTCTTTGACTCTGTGAAAGAAAATTTTACCAATTTGTTCCAAAGAAGAGAGAGACTATTAGAAAAAATTATGTCCTTCAACCTGGCTCTGCACTGTGCCTGTATGTCCCTGACATGATGGAAGAAAGAGATAGAAGCTGTATTTTTAAAGGCTTGTTTGATTGAAGAGATTCTTCTATGCTTAATATCCCCAAAGGATCCCTCCTATGACCACTGCTTCTTACAGGCCATCAGAAAGCATGTGAGTCCCGAGGATCAATATTAGAATCACTCATGACCCATGGAGAAATGCAATGAGTTGAATATTCGTTCAGCTGGCTGCATGTCATGTTTATTTACCTCACTTACTTCAGTGAGGTGAAAAGTATTTTACTGAGTGCTGTTCAGACTAGCCCATGAAAATACTGTTTGCATTAAGTAGGATCAGACACTCACATATCATGGACATCTGTTTATTCTTTCAAGAAAAGTTTGATTATTTGAATCT